ATTACACTACTACATACAGAAAAATCTATTTAAGGCAAATTTCAGGAACTGAGATATTTAAGCGAACTTTATTCTCCTTTTTTTTTTTTTTTTCTTTTTTTTTTCTTAATTTCACCAGATATCTGTAAATAGGACTCAGGATAACAAAAAGCATCTGATAATTGTGATCCCTGTCTTCCTCCGTACCGGTTCCATTCCATCTCAGTACCCCAAGGCATTTCCCATCCCGCTGTCCCACATCCTCCCTGTGTAGTTGCCTCTCACGGCTCGCTCCTGGCTTCGGTCCCCACCGTGTGCTGGATGAAACTGCCCCTCTGCACTGCACAGCCCAGGGCCACTCGCACGGACACACAGCTATTTTTATCCTCCAGCTACCATAAACGAATATTCCTCCAGCTCTGAAAGGGCACACAATCCGTGTCAGCACAGTTTCACATATTTGCTCTTTCGGGCTAATAAAATCTCAGAGAAAACAAATTCTGATTTAGCGTGTCTCCCCTCCCCTTCCCGTGAGCCGCTGCCGCTGTCAGTCCTCGGGGGCACACGCAGCAGGGCACCATGTCATGTCACACTAGGTGCTGGGATTCAACAAAGGCCAACATGTTGATATCTTTTTATTGCTCGGCAGCCTGGTTACCCCATTTTGCCCCCCTACAACTGGACGCTTTTGGTAATACGGGAAGTTCTGAAGCAGTAACGATTCTGTTTTCAGTCAGAAAAGTATTTTTGTTTTACAAAGCAATAGTCTCTGATCTTGCTTTTTAGGTCACTAAGTACAATTCTTTATTTTACAGAAACTAAAGCTGGGAACTTAGAGGGTACATTTATTTGCAATTAATGTAAATGTTTACATTGCCAAATAATGCTTTTTTAGGTAGCCTGAAGACTATTCAACATTCTTTACTAATTAACAAAAATACGTAAGGTGTTTCTACCTACAGAAAAAGAAGTTTCACCGATCTACAACTACAGCTACCACAGGGTGGTTTATTTTGTGTAGAAATGAAAGGCAAAGGCCGTGGACGGGCTCTCTAAAGCAGGCACGAGAAAACCCTAAAGGTCTCGCAGCCCCAGCCCCACAAGGGCGGGATGGCGGCAGCCCACGGGCCAGCCTTGAGTTATTCCCATGCACAGTGCCCGGGCCATGCAGGACTCTCTGGGAGCTAGCGAGGGCTGCAGCATGAAATAACATGTTTTGTTGTAATTCCTAAACAGGGGGACATTTATCTGGGCCATTTATACAAGAGTTATAACCCTCACAATATTTATACTCAGCATGTCATGTTAGCATTTACTACCCGTTTCCATGGAGATGGATTTTCATGCTGTAGCTATGAAATGCACATTGTTGCCACTAAGCCACTTCAGGCCTTTCTGGATGCCTGCTGAATGCCTGACAAAAGTTGATGCAAACCAATAGTTGTTGTTCTTTGTTTGTTGCCAGACTTCTAGCAGAGCCATATTATGTCCTAGTGATTGAAATGCTCATGTTCGCCCCCCTCCCGGCACAAAAAGGATCCTCAATTTAGGTGACAAGCATGAAGTGGGCTTCTGCAGGGGAGGGCGGCCCGGCGCGGGGCCGGGCTCGTCCCTGCGCGGGGCCGCGACGCGGCGGGGGCCGCTCCCGACAGCGCCTGACATTTGGGGATAAAGCCGGAATAAGAGAGAGCGCGGGCGGCGGCGGGGCCGGGGCCGTGGCCGAGCTCAGCGCTGGCTTCTCCCGCCGCTCCCCCGGCCGGGCCCCGCCGCTCCCGACGGCCGCGGCACCGGTCCCGCCGAGCCCCGGCCCCGCCGCGGGCAGTGCCACCGGCCGTTCCGCACCGGGGCTGGCCTGGGGCCTGGCGGAGCGGCTCCGGGACGGGGCTTGCGGCGGGCAGGAGAGCGCAGCGGGACGGCTCCGAGCGCGGCGCTGCCTGCGCAGCCCGAACCGGGCCGGGCCGCCCCATCGCGGTCCCCTCCGACGGCGCCGCACGGTTACCGGACCGCGGCGGGCCCGGGGCGGGGGGCAGCGCCCTGCCTGGGTCGGACGCCACGGCTCGGTGTCTTCGGTCCCGTTCGTGCCCGCCTCGCAGCCTACGCCGGGGTCCCCGCTCGCCGTGGCCGCCACCCGTAGCCGTGAGCCCGGTGCCGCGCTGCCCCGCTCCGGCGGGCACGGGATGCGGCCCGATCGGGAACACGCCCGGAGTCCGCCGCGCGCCCCGGGCCGGGCCGGGCCGCCCCGGCGGGACCCCCGCCGCCCCCCGCGCCCTTACTGTTGGTAGTCCTGCTTGCAGTAGAGCTTGCGGTCCCGGAAGTAGCAGCTGGTGGTGAGCGCCTGCTGGCACGCGGCGCACTGTAGGCACTCCTCATGCCAGGAGGACTCGTTCACCCGCATCAGGAACCGGTCCGAGATGGGCCGCTGGCAGCCCTCGCAGACGGCCTGGTGCTGGCACTCCGACCCTGCAACGGCAGACGGCGGCGTCAGGCGCCGGCCCCGGCCCCACCTGGCTCCGCTCCCAGCCCCGACACGACCCGGCCCCGCTCCCCGGTCCCCGTCCCGGGCAGCGCGGTCCGCCCGCTCCAGCCGTTCGGTAACACCGAGCTCGACGGCTGCCGCCGGTCCCGCGCCCCGCACCGGTCAGGGGCTGAGCGGCCACGGTCCGCATCAGACCGGCCGGGACCCCCGGAGTGCAGCCCCGGGCACCGAGCGGTGCGCGGGGCCGCTCTCGGCGTAGTCGAGAAGCGACCGGCAACTCACCCAGCAGCACTCCCAGCGTGGCCGGCCCCGAGCGCAGGGGGTGGTCTTCCATTTTAATGCCGTCCAGCATCTTGGCGCAGTCCGGTGGGCCCCGCGGGAAGCACCTCTCCAAGGACTCGGGGCCCGTGGCGATGTCCATGAGCGGCGGCGCGGCCCGGCGCTCCGGGCGGCGGGGAGAGGCTCTGCCGGGCGGCGGGGCCAGCTCAGCCCCGCGTCGGGCCGGGCGCGGGGACACTCTGCGGCCGGGAGGAAGGAGTCGCTTTTATTTTTATCTGGAAGACATGAGGAGCGTTTCCTGCCCGGGCTTCCAGAGACGGGGGGCAGAGGCAGGAGCCGGCGCCGCCGCCCATGGGGCCGCCCCGCTACACGGGCGCGCACATGCCGCGCACACGGCGCCGGGCAGCCGCGGTGTCACCTGCTCGCCGGCAGCGCCGGACCCACGCCCTGCTTGGCGCGGAGGGCCCTCCCGGGGCGGGCCGTGCCGGGCGGAGCGCGGGCCGGGCGGGGCACGGGGCTCCCGGCGCTCCCAGCCCCTGAGCCGTGCGGCGGCCCGAGGAGCCGCGCCGTTTAGAGCAGGGGCCGCGGCGGAGGAACACACCCCCCGGCGCCTCACCCCTCCTCAAACTTGCTGACATTTGAACTCCATTGGTGCGCGGCGTATCGCTGCGCCGCGGTGATCCGTCTCCTCGACGTCAAATAGTGCCCTGGCCCCGCCGGGCCCCCGCGGCCCCTGAAGCGCGGCGGCGCCCGGGGCAGCCGGCTCCGAGCACCCCGGGGCGGCCGGTGGCGCGGGCGGCGCGGGCCCGGGTCGCGCCCCCCGCGGGCCGCGGGCGGGGAGAACGATCTCGGCTACCGAGGGTGGCGGATGAGCGGGGCCCCGGCTGCTCCGCTCCCCGGTCCGCGCCCCGCGCCGCTCCTGGCCCGACGGCGGCTCTTGGCTCCTGCCCTGTCTGGGGTAGGTAGCAGCGCGCGTCCAGCGCGGGGCCGCGGGCAGGGAGCGGCAGGACCGTCCCTCGGGGCGCCCGGGACCGGCGGGGACGCGGCTCTGTCCCGCGGACGGCGGCAGCGCGACCGGCCCCGGCGGGCACGCGGGACGGGGCACCGGGGATCGCGCCGCTCACGCCCTTTTGGGAAGGGCGGCTCCGAACAGTCACGCCGAGGCTGCCAGCGGGAAAGCTCAGGCGGAGCAGCGGCCCGAGGGCTGCGGGTGCCGCTGCGGCGGCGGAGCCCGTGCCCGCTCCCGCAGCAGCGCTGCCCGCTCGGCTTGGCCGCGAACGCTTTGGAACGCGCAGGGCTCGGTGCGGGGCGCGGCGTGTGCGGGACAGCCCCGTCCAAGCTCACCGCGCCGGGATTCCCTCCGAGGAAAAACCCGACGGGAAAAGCGATCCCGCGTGGAGCATGGACCCCGCGCCGCCGGCTCCCCTTTCGAGTTTTTTTTTGGTTGTTCGTTTCTGTTTGTATCTTTGTTTGCTTTTTTCCCCCTGATACCGTTAAAAATCCAAACATGAAGAAATGAAAATCCAGAAAAGATTCTTTTAGGAAGTTCTTAATATGCCATGACCCTGCCAAAAGAAGGAGTATATTTGGTAATGCTCCCAAAATATTGATACTTAATAAGCAGGGCGAGTGTTAACTTGAATTAGTGTTTCTATTTTGTGGGTCCTAAGATAAAACTTTTTTAAATGTCGTTTTCGTACGGAAAAAAAAATTTGAAAGAAATTCGTCACTGTGTTTTAGTAAATTATTTTGGAAAACTATTTTCAGTAATAGAGCTTATTTGGTTTTGTTCTAGAGAGTAGAAATCGGAAAATCATTGTCCTTAATGCTGAAAAAATAATATATGATTATTTAATTCTGAGATCAAGATAAAGGCTGCTAAGATTTCACAGTTCAGTCAGCGGCGCAAATGCTGCTCGTTTACATTAATTTTTTATGTCCCCTTCCTATTTTCACGAAAGGATTCAGAGTTCTCCATCACACAGGGCTTCCGTCAAATCATCTTCTACAATTGCCTGGAAAATTAAAGCCCCTGTTTCCGTAGGAGTTTCCATAAATTCTGGCTACAAAAGAACGAAAAAACCCCTCCTCAAAACCCAACGAAAAGGCAGCGCTGAGCAGCGGGACCGGGAAGCAGAGCGAGAGCCCCTAGCCCTGCACCCGCAGCAGTAATTCCAGCTTTGTTCGTGGGCTTTTATTCGCAAATATCACACTAAAGGTTTGTTGCTTCTGTCCGTGTGTGTATACGAGCACTGCGCCGGGTTATTGTTATCCCCGCTCCTGCCCCGAGAACAATTCGATGAGGTGTTATATAGGTTTATATAATGCTTTTAACGAAAAACGAAATGCAATTAAAACACCCACGCTCAAAACCATCACAGAAATAAACCCAAACCAGACTAAGCAGCCCCACCTTCCCGCGGCTTCCTTCGAATTGTCCTTTTATTTGCAAGGCAAATCTCTTTGTTTTGAGTTAAATTTGAGAGTCGAACACGAAACGCAGCCGGTCCCAATCCTTCCCGAACGAGACAGGAGGAAGGAGCCATCGGGATAACTAACAACGGCCGAGCCCTCTGCACCGACTCCCCCAGCGGCCGCCGGGACGCGCCGCCCGCTCCCCGCTCCCGGCCCGTCGGTGCCGCCCGGTGCAGGCGGTACCGGGGAGAGCAGCGGGACCGCAGCCGTGAGCGGGACGGAACCGCGCGGAGCCCGGGAGGGCCACGGGCGTCTCCGCGCGAGCGAAGCGGGGCGCCGGGCTTTCTCTGCATAAGCGTGCGGTGCCGGCGGACGCGTGGGCGTCCGTGCAGTCTGTCTGTGCACATTCCCGGCTGCCTGGACGCGTTTTTTCCCCGGTTACCGTCGGGCACCGCCCGCTCCCCTGCTGAGCTGGAGGAGGTGCCCAGAGGGGTGCCCGGCTCTCCGCAGGCCGCGGTTCGGTGCGGGCCGTGCGGTCCGGTGGTGCGGCGGGTGCTGTCGGCGCGGTGTGCGGCCGGAGCGGAGCGCGGGGCTGCCCCGGGGCGGCCGCTGACCCCGGGCCCGGTGCCCGGTGCGGCGGGGCTCGGGCGCAGCCTGCCCCCTGCTGGCGTGCGGCGGCACGGCAGCGGCTCCGGGGCGCGGGGTCAGCCGGGGCGAGCGGCGGGGCCGGGGCGAGCGGCGGGGCCGGGAGGAGCGGGGCTGGCCGGACCGGGCGCTGTGCAGCGCGGAGACGGCGGCGCTTCGCACCCCCGGACGGGCCGGACAGGCCTCCGGCCTAGCGGTGCGTGGCAGCGGGGCGTGGGGGGAGCCCCTGGGCAACAGCGTGCCCCCGGCTCACTGTGTCCTGTTTTTCTCCACCCACAGTCGGACTCAGCAATTCGCTCCCCTGCGGAGCCCCGGCCTTCCGCGCCCGTCCGCGGCAGACGCCGGTGAGCAGAAAAAGGCCCGTGGCCGGAGCGTTCGGGGAGCCGGGGCACCGGGGAGCCGGGGCATCGGGCTGCCGGCACGGCGGACAGCTGCCTAGCTTCTTCGGCACCGGCACGGAGACCGCCGGCAGCCCCTCGGGCGGCCTCGCTGCCGGTTGTCCACGGAGGTCTCTATGCTTCCCACAACAGGGCTCTCCCCAGACCGGCTCTGCAAGCCCGCAGCTCCGACCGAGCCCCGGCTGCGGCGGTGGCGCCTCCCGGTCCCCGGGCGTCTCCCCCGGCCGCCGCCGTGCGGGGCAGTCGCAGGACCCGGCCGCGTTGGCTCGGTAGCCCTAGAGGAACGGCACCGGCCCGGGAGGATCCGCCGCCGCTCGACGGTGACTGATCCAGCCCGCGCTCCCCCCGCGGAAGGATGGATGTGAACGAGCTACTAAGTGTAGTTACTAATAACAATAACAATAAATTATCGGACTGCTGCTCAGTAATGCAAACAAATGTTTGTGAACCACGCGGAGTCTCCCCGCGCCTCGCAGCAGCCCCACGGGGACCGGCTCGTCTGACGAGCGGCTGTTCCCCGGCCCAGGGAAACGACCCTGCTCGCCCGACGGCCTCCTGGAGCAGGTGACAGGCCGGTGATCAGGGACGGGGCCAGCCAGGGAGGCCGACTGGGGAGGTGGTGCCGGCGGTATCCGGCAGAATGCTGTCGGAGGCCGCGCCGCGTGAAAAGCGGCGAGCACCGAGCCGGTATTTTAATTAAGCAGGACCTCTTTGATATAGGCCGCTTGATGCTATCTATCTCTGCGCTCTGTTCCCGTCACGACAGCATTCGGGTAGGAAAATTGCTGAGCGAGGCGGGTCAGGCAGGGCGTCGGGGCCGCGCCGAGAAGCCGGAAAGCCCCAGGGAGTGGCGGGTGCTGGGAGCCCTAACCCCGCCGCGGTGCGGTGCCGCCGTGCGCCTTTTCGGGGGGCCTGGAGGAACGGGAGCCAATTTACCATGATTAAAGGCACAGGCGAGGAGGCGCCACGCATTTGCATGCGCCTTCATCTTCCCTAAGTGGATTTTTGAGGGCAGCGCGGTAGACAAGCTCGGGCTCCGCATTCCCTCCTCCGGTGGAGCGCCCGTCCGGGTGGCCTCGTGGAATGGAGGGCTCGAGCCCCCCACCGGCCCCAAGGAGCCGGAGGACCGGGCTCGGCACCAAGGTCCGCGCTGTTCCCTCCGCCACCCGGCCCCTCCTGCGGCGACCGGCGGCTCCGCGCTCTGCCCGCGACTAACCCGACGCCGGGCACGACCCGCAAGGGTTGCGCCCGAGGCAGAGGCTGTTCCTCAGCCTCATCAGGCCCCCGGCTCTCGCTGCCCGTTCGCAGAGCTCTAGAGCGGGCCGTGTCCCTCAGCCGCCCCGAGCCGCAGCGACCCAACGGGCCGGGCGGGCCCCGTGACAGCAGCGGCGGGCGCCGGGCTCGGGTCCGGCCCGCACCAAACGCGAGCGCTCTCTCCGGCCGCTCGCCGGGGGCAGGGACCCGATGGGGCGGGCGTGACGAGCCCGGCTGGCAGCAGCGTGTCGCGCACATGTGCCCCCGCGGCGACCGATGCCAGGTGCGAGGCTGGGGGCAGAGTTTACCGCCGGTCTCTGACGGCACCGCGGGTTTCTCAGCCCAGGGGGTGTGGGAGGGGTCCCTTCCCAGTTCAGGGCAAATACCTTCGTTTCACTGGGAAATTTAACCTCTCCTTGGAGCTGGATCC